CTATAATCTGTAATTGTTGATCATATCCTGCTTTGGCCACTCTTTATGCTTGTTCAATCTACTTTACTGTAATAAACCTAAACTGTGATATAATATTAATTAACTCAAATAATTATTATAAAAATGTTCTCTCTAGCAAGTTTTCAGATTCACTCAAATATATAGATAAGCATTTATTTCTATTATAAATAAAATAAAATAGTATTATTTTGGTCATGTCTTGTTTAGCTATATAGTAGATAAAAAAAATTAAAAATATAAGAGATTCTAGTCTTATATATTAGTGATAAGCTTAGCAAGCAATTTACAAAATGTTTCATTAAAGTATTTGATCAGGCTATTTGTTTGAGAATAATAGGAGGTTAAATAATAATAATTTATTTTGAATCTTTTTAAAAATTTATCTATTAGATTATTTATATAATGTATTTCTTTATCTAACAATAAGTATTGAGAACATTTATGTCAATATACTATATCTTTATAAATAAAATTAGCTATCTTATTAGCATTAGCTACTTTGATAACTTTGACTTCTGATTACTTAGTTATATAGTCTATTGTAACAACTATATATTTATTTTCTCATAAGATTAGAGGTAAAAGTTTTATAATATTAATCTTTACTTTGTAAAATAGGGTTTTAATTAGTATTGGGTATAATAAGGACTTTACTAAGTTTTTATCTCATCTTTAACAAGCATTACAAGTTTGAATATATTTTCTTATATCTATATATATTTGAGGCCAATAATATAAATCTCTAATCTTATTAAACATTATATCATTTTCAAAATGCCTTCTAAGTAGGTAAGTATAAGTTAAGAATAAAATTGGCTTGATTTCATGCTGTTGTATTATTTATAATAACTTTTTTTTTTAAATTTATCTTTTTATAGATAATCTTTTTTTAACTATAAAGAATTTACTTTAAGATTGTAGGCTTTTTTGTTGTTATAGAGAAAAGATGCAAATAATTTTTATTTATTTATATAGTTTTTGAGTTGCTGATATCTAATTGATTTTATTTTTACTAGAATACTAACTATCTAGATTGAATTTATTTTAATAACAGATTGGATTTCTATACTTTTCTGCTAAAGATCTTTTTATATAATGCTTGTTGTTGGTCTTATTTTTTTTCAAAAGATAAATTTCTTTTACACTATTAAAATTAATTTTATTCTTTTTGTGCAGTACTTATTAACTCTGCCAGTACTAGGCTATAAATATATCTTATAAAGAAAGCATATATTTCTTTTAGCATAGTGTTTACTATCATGTTAATACTAGGTTCTTTGTATATGTCTTACAGATATATAATGTTAGATTTCAAATAGTTTTATAATTGTGTATAGTAATTTAGTTATATAAAAATTAAAAATTTGATTGATTGATTGTTTTTTTTTTTTATATGTGAGAAAAAGAATTTACATTTGAATACTTTTAACCTACTTAATGAACTATTATATAGTTATAAGGCTGCAATCTTAATATCTATTAGGCTCTTCTTCTTTTTAGTTTAGTAGTATTTAACTATTTAAGTGCAGCATGCTCTGTAACTAAAGTAAAGTAACTTGCATCTAAGTAATAATGGAAATGTTTAACAGCCTATAGCATTGCTAAGCATTTAAGCTCTAGAGTAAAATAGTCATTCTTGGACTTTGTAAGTACTTTGTTGTTATAAGTTATAATATATTATTTGTTATCTTTATTCTTTTAGGCTAAGACAGCATTTAATTTAGTATATAAAGCATTTGTATATAAGTAAAACATTTTCTTAAACTCTGAATATTATAAAATAGGTGTTATCATTAAGTATCTTTTTAGAGTTTCGAATGTGTGCTGTTGCTTTTTACCTTATTCATATAGTATATTTTTTTCTAAGAGTTTGTATAATGTTATGCTATAGTTGCAAACTCTTTAATGAATCTTCAATAATGCTAAGTCAAACCAATGATTTTTCTTAGCTAACGAAGATTTGTTAATATCAGAAAGCTTGTTACTTTTTAATTTGATTTTATTTGGTCTTATGCTCTTTCTTACTAACTATGTAATTAAAGTAGAAGAGTTCTGATTGAAAGAACTCATACATTTCTAGGTTTGGTTTTAATTTAGCATTCTGTAACTTATTGAAAATAACTTTTAAAAGTTTGAAGTAATTTTCAAATGTCTTAAAATATATATTTATATTATTAAAGTAAATAATAGCATATTTTCTAATACACTTATATAAACTTTATCCATCAGTTTCTAAAAAGTACCAGATACATTACAAAGTCCAAATAGTATTATTTTAAATTCATAATTATTATATTTCATTACAAATATTATTTTTATTTTATTTTTTTTACTCATCCCTATCTGTTAATAGTCACTATTAAATTTAAGATAAAAACTATTTTGTTTTTTAAAAGTATTAAGAAGTTTGTTAATATAAGGTAGAAGTTATGTAACTTTTTTGTATCAGAATTTAATTTTTGGTAGTTTACACAAAACTGAAAATTGTTATTCTTTTTAATACTATGATAATAAGTAAAGTCTAAGAACTAATTGCAATTTTAATTAATTATTTTTCTATTATTTTACTAATTTCTTTTTTTACAAACTTATTCTCTTTTTAGGCTAGTTTATAATAATGTTGTCTAATTAGTATTGCATTCTCTATATCAATAATATGCATATTAATATTTGTTTACTCTAAATTTTTTAGGTTTTGGGCAAACAACTTTTTTTTTTGGTTTAACAGATTTTTAATCTTTTTTTTTTGTATTTTACTTAGTTTTTTGTTATTAAAAAACTTTCACAGTTTTTTTTTAGCAAACTTTTTATCATATTCATTCTCTTTACTTAGTACTTTTTTTATATTAATTAAATATATGACAGGATTTTCTTAATAGCTTATTGGTCAGGTTTCAGTAAAAAAAACCTTCAATATCACTAGTTTATTCTTTTTTTTTATATTTAAATTTATTAAAAGTATCTTTATTTTTACTACTGAATCTTTCTTCTTTGTTATTAGCATTGCCATTTCTGTTCACATATTAGATATCAGAACTTTTACTAACTAGTTTAGATATTTTAGATATAATTTTTGCTTGTCAAAATGCATATAGGCATTTTCTTTTTGAAATCAATTAGTTTCTAATAGTAATGTTTCTTCAAGTGACTCTAAAACTTATAAAGAGATGGGTATTATTATAATGTCTTGGACTATTATATTTGTATTTTTTATTTTTCTTAATGTTTTGGTATTGTTATTACTACTGTTATAATGAATTTTTCATTTATTTTTAAACTATATTTATTGAATAGTTTTTTTGATATAATACTTATAGTTGTTTTCAAATTGAGAATTACTATTAATAGATTATTATAAATTTTTATTTTACATCTAACTGCAGTTTTTGGTAATTTTTTTGAAGTTTATGAAGTTGGTTTCAGATAAGAGTAGTATTCTTTTTAATAATTTATTAGATTTCTTCTTTGATTAGAATATTGAATTACCTAACATACTGTAACACTAGTTAGATAGTATAAGATATTATCTGTAATGTTATATAATTTAAAAGTATTAATTATAGAGGGACCAAGTTTCTTTTTATGTTTATTCATTATAATAGAATTATTTTTAATAGTTCTGTTATTAATTTTTATTCTTTGTCTTTCTATAATTTCTTTAGTTAGTTGTGTTTTTCTATTTTCTTTTTTTTGTAATCTACCTTCCCAATTTGGGTTATTTGGTTATTTTGTAACTGTTTTATTTCTAATTATAAATATCTCTTCACTTTTATTTTTTTCTTAGACTAGCTTATATAGACTTATATATTTAGGTCAATTTTAAGTTCTGTGATTATTTTCTTAATTTCTATTAGACATCCTTTTCTTAGAACAATAATTTCTCAATATATAATCTCATTTATCACAATTATAATCTTGAGTTTTTTTTACTGTTCTTATGAAGAGTATAGATATACTTTTCCTAAGCTTTTCATATATTAGTTAATGTTGTATAATTTAATGTAATCTGATTTATCCTTTTCTTTATATTTTTTAATTCTGTTTTGTCTTGCAATTTTTTAAGATCTTTATTTGCTTGTTGTTTATAATAGTCTTCTATTTAATTTTTCATGTTGCTGAAATGATCTTATTTAGATTCTTAGGTGTGGTTATAACAACAAAAGTATTATTTTTATTTTTAAATCACTTAAAAACATTTTTATAATATCTTCATCTAGAAGATAATTAGTTAAGTTTATTTAATTAATTAATCTTTTAAATTTTGTAATATAACTATCTACTCTTTCATGATCTTTTTGCATTAGAATATTAAGTTTAATTTGTTACCAATACTGTCTTTCTAGAGGTGCAAACTATTTTACTAATAAGTAAAAGAAATTTTAATTTCTTATTTCTTTATCTTCACTTTTGTATCTGATATTAGTTTTATTTTCTTTATACTATTCTGTTACTATTTTTCTTAACTATCCTAATATAATTTTTATTTTATAATCTTTGGTTCAGTTATTAGTTTTTGTAATATGCTTAATTTCATCGAACTATTCAAACAGGTCTTATTTATTCATATTGTAAAAACTTTTAATATTTATATAATTATTTATTTTTGAAATAAACTTATTATTATTATTATCAACAATAAATTTGATCATTATTTTTATAAATTCTTTAAACTGTTTAGTATTTATTTTGAATTTATATAATATTACAAAGTCCAATCTCACAATTATTATTAATTGTTATAAGTAGATAGATCAGTTTTACTATTAAGGTCTATTACCAAAAGCATAATATAAGTAAATTGGTTAAAAGTTTATTACTTAATTTATGTTTATGTTTTGAAAATAATTTTTATTATAGATATCAAGATTTGATTCTAATTTTATTAATTTTTATTTTTAATGTTTATATACAGTTTATTGTAAGAAATTTTTATATTATGATTATAGTATTAAAAAAATTTACTTTTTACAAAAGAACTATTACTGCTCTTTTATAATAATTAATTTTTTAAACTAAAGCAAGTTATTTTATTTTATTCTTGTTTTTATTTTAATATTATATGTCTTTTTTTTATATATTATAACATTATTCATATTATTATTCTCATCACTGTTTTTGTTATTACTCTTGCCATCATTCTTGTCATTACTTTTGTTTTCATTTTTATCACTACTTGTCATCATTATATTTTATATAACAGTGCAATAATAGATAGTTATATTTATGCACAATAATTATCTTATCTGTTATTTGAACATTGTTGCCTTATATTTTAGATGTAGCTTTGACTCTATTTTTCAGATTCACTTCTTATTATTTCATAACAATGTTATAATTAGTAAAATCTGCCTTGTAGAATGTGAGATAAGTATAAAAAAAAATTTATGTTTCTTTAAATCTTTTCAAAGAAATTTTAAAAGAATAATAAATCTTTGTTCATAAATATCTCACAATCTAATAAGCCAATTTTAATAGTTGTATTATCATTAGAATCATAATAAACTCTCTTACAATGTTTATTAGAAGTCAAGTAAGTGTATTATAATCAAAAAAATAGTTTCAGCTAATTAAAACTTAAAATTTTTTTATTATTTTACCTGCAATTTAATTGACCACTTCGAAGCAAGAGGCACGTGACTTTATTAAAATGGTCACTTCATTAAATAATTAATACAAAACCTAATATTAAATTTTTTAACACTATACTATGTGTACTGTACGTACTGTACGCGAAAAAATTGGGACATCATATAAACGGCACATCACTAGGTGTGACAAATAAACACTGACTTAATTGGTGCTTATTCGTCACTCGTGATTGGTCACACCCGATCCTTAAATTTCATAGCTTTCATTAAAATTGACCTGAATGATTTCTGAATCGGTGAAAATTCATGAATGACCGAGGTCAATTAGGAATCGACCTAAATCGTTAAATGACTCAGGAATAAATCATGAAAAAAAGTGAGGCTTACTCCCTTGTAACTAAACTGCAAACAGTCCACAAAGTCATGTGAAAGGACAACCAATCAGAAGAACGTATTTGTTCACATCATTTACTCGTCTGATAACGATGCACTTCGTTTCACTCCGTTCCTGATATATTAAAAAAATCTCATCTTCGATAATTGCGCATGGTTAACTTTATTAATTTTATAAACATTATTATTTAAAAGTACTATTGAAATAAATTAGTGGGTTTTTTTTATAGATATGAAGTTAATATTATACTTAAATGTTAGCACACATTATTAAGAATTAATAAATAAGGTAACTGCGCAGCACAGTTGTGCCAAAAACATGAGCGGGAATTATCTATTATATATACACATTTTTTAAAGATATATCACTGTTACTGGTACCAATCCTACAGATAACTCATAACTTAGACGATAATACCAAGTGGACAACTTCAAAATATAAGTTTATTTGAAAAAAACTTGCTCATTGCAAAATTTGCCTATTAATTATTAACAAATGAGTGACGGTCAGGAAAACTGTAAATCATACTTTCTGAATATTTACTTTTAATAAAAATATCTTGAAAAAATAAAGTAATTGAAGATCTATGATTTTAATGTTATTTGAATTATTTCATTAATGCAATTCAAATGATATTAAAAATAATAATTGCTAGTTACATGATTTTAAAATAATTTTTATTAACGTTAAAAGTAAATATTCAAAAAGTATGATTTACAGTTTTTTCCTGATCATCACTCAAATAGTCTATCTACCTTCCGATCTAATTGATAACCAATAAGTTATAACATTATGATGCGACATAAACAGTAAAAGTAATATAATTAATACATTTATCATTCGGCACTGTCATCAATTAAATAAATTATAAATTATATGAAGATGGTTATCGTTTTATTTATTATAAATAAAATCATCGATTGAACTGGAATAGCATAATAATCTTTAACATAAACATAGTTCAATACATGTTAATGCAAGCGCAATACAAATAGAAACATAAGTTACCAATTAATTACACTATGTTAAACACAGTACAATACACGTTAACTTAAACACAATACAAATAGAGTGGCATGATTAAACATTGGTTATATTGGTCACGTTAGATAATCAAACTCTCAAACATTCCATAACACTAATTATTAAATGCGAATATATTGGCACAAAAAATTAAGCAATTAAAATGTCACATGATATCGTTTTAAAGGTATCATCGATCAGATTTACGAACCCGAAACTATTCGTGTTTACATATTTAGAAATCATAGCTGAATGTGGCATCCAACCGAATGCAAGATTTTGTGGACGCACACCCTGAAAGTTTGTTGTAAACCATACTCTCCGTTTTCACTTATTGGAAACTCTGTTCCTGGTATTATGGGAATACAGTCATCCTCCTCTATAGTCACATCTGATATAATTATACCCTCATTATAAACGCCATTTTTTAAAAAATTATCGGCAATATATTTTTTATTTAAAAAAACTTAATATAATCATATTACTATTAAAATTTTATAAGCACATCTTTTTTATTTAAAAGAACCTGGAATCACGGTAGATAATAACTCAATGGACAAATCACATACACATATAAATATAAAATATCCTAATTCCTCTTTATACATTAAAAGGTTAAAATTTTATTAAAAGAATATAAAGATAGATATTATACAATCTTTTAAAATGTGATTTAAAAATTAGTTATATAATACTAGTCATGAAATAATATTCACAATAATTGATCTATTAAAAGAAGAAAGGATTTAAATAGTAAAAAATCACTAATGATATTATAATTAATGCCATTGGTGAACTTTGTATAGATCTCCCTTTTGACGTTACTGATGGAATAGATGTCTCTTTCGAAGTTACTGTTGTGAAATCAATTGAGATAGACAATTTGTTGTTTGTTGAATTATTTGGATTTAAAGCTGAAACACAAAATATTTTAGATGCATAGGGTGTGACAGGACCGATTTTACATGTTTGCACTGGTTGCATGCACGCTATAGTGCTATTAAAGGTACGGGAATTAGATTGTCCAGTTATAAAATTTAAAAATTCTTGCTGTTCTTTTGGATCTAATGCATAAGCAACAAATCCACCATTTGGTTTATAATCAGATGTGTTCCTAGTTGTAAGTAATTTGGTACCGAAATTTGATGTGTCTGGGGAGGAGTCACTTGTACCCTCAATGTTGTATGCTGCAATTTAATAATTTCGAAAGAACGAAAATAAATAAAAAATTAACAAATGAAAGGATTTATCTTTCTAATAAATGTATTTGATTTGTACTTACTCATACTAATTACATTATTAGAGCTACATTGATACCAAGTATAATAAGGATTTAAAGTTACTATTCCAGAAAAGTGTTCTGCATTGATTGAGATTATCTGCAAAAGATTTGTTCATAACTTATAGAATAAACTCTTACTATTATGAAATCATTATTTAAAATATTATATATCTTACATCAAATAACAGGAAAAATACGAATAAGTTAATTGCAAGGTCAAAAAATTTATTTAATCTTTTAAAATAAAGCAAGTAGTACTCCATTCTTTGAATAAGTTTTCAAAAGATTTTCTAGGTTGTATTGGAAAAAAATTAAGCTTGTCTAAGGGAAGGAATAAATGAAAAATAATTCATGGATCTTATAAATAGTTTTGTCAATTAACGTTTATATGCCTTATTAGCAAAAAAAAATCATAGATTTCTTGTTTACCCGATAAAGTAAACAAAAGAAAATACAAAAAACAAATGTCTGAAACCATATTCCCGTATTAATTAAATTTTTCTGGGATGATTTTACATATTGTACTCTTCTAATCTTAACCCTAAATCTAATCCTTAAATAACGTTAATAGTAATTTCTGATGTGTTCCCAAAAAAGGAAATAAAACAATGCGTATGTATTAATTGTAGTTAACAGTAATTTCTGATGTGTTCCCAAAAAAGGAAACAAAACAATGGGTTTGTAATACGTATGTATCAATCGTAGTTAACAAAATAATTAACTCTTTTTAACAGTAAAACAACACATTTAAAACTGTAAAACAGTGATTTATCAAATTTGCTATTATTGTTTGATGGACGAATCTAATTGTAACAACCCGTTACGAGCTTACTTGTAATAACTTAATTAGTACAACCAAAAAAAAAACAATAAAAATAACTAAACCTTCGTGTAACCCAAACCCTAACTCTAACTACTATTGGCTAATCCGAGTTTGTTTATTCTTGTTTGATTATTTAAGATTTTACTGACCATTGAATACTTTACCGAATGTTTTATGGATTTGAAAATATTGCATATTTTCTCAATATACAATTGTTCTTTTTGTAAGCTCAAGGACAAAAACAAGAGCATGAACAATAAAAATAGTGAATATATTAGCAAATATTAAGAAAATTTATTATATTCTATTTTTTAGAAACTTTATGAATTTCCTGTGATATAACGTTATGCATTTTGTTCAAACCTTTTTGATTAACCTATGAAAAAAGAATATTCTGCCTTGTTTTTAATGAACAGAATTATAATATTCTATAAATAGAAAAGTTTATTGCAAAGGCATTATCAAAAACACTCAATAAACAATTATACTAATTTCATGTTTATTATTTAAAATATTATTTTATAACAATCAGCTTTATAACGAACTGATAATTTTTATAGTAAAAATTTAAAAATTTCTTAATTTATTTGAATTTGCCTATACTATGTAATAGTACAACTAATTAGGCATGTGACATTTGCGCAAGTAAGCTCAATAATATGATGTCGATCATTTGTGAATTGATGAACGTAATTACTGCTTATTTTTAGAGCTGTTAACGGTTTGCTTACTCTTAAAAACCGTGGCTCTAGCTTGAGCCATGAATGTTGAAGCCACAGCTTGATCCATGACTCGAACATGACTTAACCAATGGATTCAATAGTTATTGCTAAAAATGTGACAACCAATATCAATTAAAGCATCTGAATCCGATCGCTAAATACAACTATTTCACATCAAATTATCCAGTTTCTCCAAATCAGACTAATATTTATTTGTTCCTGGTTCAGCGCGCAGATACTTATTAATATTATATTTCGCAGATTCATGATATTTCTTCTATCAGTAAGCCACATATCTCATATTTCTGGATCTTTTTCAGTATCGCCTTTATTCAATTTTTTTAGAATTTTTCAGAAAGTCATATTGTAAGCCGCAGGACTGTAATCCCGGAAGGAGGTGATTGATGTGGCGCAGTAATGAATTAACGGCTATGTTGATCGCCTACCTAAAATGGGTTTACCGGTGTTACTATCGAATTTCGAGGGAGCGTCAGTAGGGGCCAGGTTTAGGTCAGTGATAGTGAACGAAATTAGATTAGTTATGTATAGGACCGAATAGGGACAACAATAGGTGAAGGTACATGCAAGATATCAATAAGGGAGATACGAATTAAGTTAGAGGTTAATTTATATAATCGTGAAGATGTCTTCATGATATCGATACTAGAAAAACAATAAGACTGTGAAGATGTATTCACAATAAAATAGTGATGCAAAAAGAATTTAATATGTATACAAAAGTATTTTTATAAATATCAGTGAGATCAAAGTCTGTCTTTATTAAAGGTCTGAAGCAAGGTCTTTAAATACATAATTTGATATATATTGTTGTGTTCGGATAACTGCGACTCTGTCGCTCCACAATTCAAAATGTCGTGTAACGTACGATAAGTAACCTTTTCGAAAGAGGGTGTTAGATTTGGCTGGTGGGTAATTAAGACTTTCGGTCACTTGGATTCAACGATGTCCAACAGGGTAAGTCACGTGAACAAGAACTCAAACGAATGACGATGTTATAGGGGTTTTATTATGGACAATACAATGTATTGGGACTTGTTTATTAATCAAGCAAACAAGACATACTCCTCTTAAGGACCATTTTGGCCTTTATTTATAATATTAAATTTGTCACTTACAAATATGATTTTGCACTTATTATTACTTTAAGGTTACTAAATGTTATTTATATTAATCTATGTAATATCTTTAAGAATGTGTTATTTGTCCTCACATTCTCTCTTCTGGATCTGAAATACTATTTGCAATCACAAATGTAACTTATTACATTTTATGTATTTTTTATATGATCAGTTACAATATCTAGTATCATAATATAAATTAATACATTATTCTTTAAATTAAGTTCTTTTTTTATCTGTTGATTACATATCTTCTGCAAAATCTTTCAGGTGTTAAGGTATTATCATCTTTGTCATTAATATAATTATCTTCACATACAATATTCATGTTAATAATAAGTAAATACCTTTTGTTTACAAGAATCATTATTATTGTCAAATAATTTTTACTAGTTGCCTTACCTAATGAAGCTGACAATAATTCTTTAATAAAGTTGTTGATATAAACAACTGAATTTATGAAACATAAACAATTCTAAAAATGATTTTAATTTATAATTACAATATCGAATGACCTTGCATCTATAAATAACTATATTTAGTAAAGATATTATACTATGTATACAAGATATAAAATAGGAAATTAACTATATAGAATAACAAAAATAAGAAATTGAATGTATAAAGTACATGAAATAGAAAATTAGTGATCTAACAAATAATACAAAAAAAATAGCTATTGAATACTTAATATGTAACATAGTTATATCTAATTAGCAAAGAACTATTAGAATAATAATAGTAGCACTAGCAGTATATACTGTATTCTTTATACTTAGTTGATAATAGATATCTGTAAATAAGATAGAAATGTTACAGTTACAGTTCAACAAGAACCATAATTTGGATCAGTTTTTTGAATTGATTTAAACAGTTTGTAGTTTATAAATTAGAATTAGTTCTAATAGATTCGTTTATAATAAATTTTGTGATTATATAATTATGTAATGGTAAATATATGCAATAGTATTTTTATTTGAAAATCATATCTGCAATAATATAATAATAATAATAGTAAAGAATTTTAATTTGTAAAAAAGTATATATATACTAAGATAATAAATAAATTAAGTAATTAAAACTATGTTAAAGGTTTATAGAATTCAATATATTACAGATTTTTATATTACATAATAATCAGTTTTCAATTATTTATTTAATATACAGTAAAGTTATATTATAACTATTATAACATATTTAATATACAGTAAAGTTATATTATAACTATTATAATATATTTGATATGCAAAAAAAGTTATATTAAAGAACTATTGTTCAAATAAATTTTTGAACAACTTATTTGCTTTTTTTTCACACTTATTATTATTATTATTAAGAAATTCCTAACTTGCATTTGGCTTAAATTCTAATTGTTGTCATTTTTTTGTTTAAATTCTGCCAATTCTAAAGAATTACACCTAATTTTATTAAGTAGCATATATGATAATTGTAACTTTGATTATTGAAGATTGCTACTCATATTTAGATAAGCTTTAAAATTCTATTTATTAAAATAACTTGTTGCTAGAAATTACAATATATCAATTTTAATGTTTAACAAATTTAAATACTTAAGAAATTGGTTTAAAGGTTTCTGCTTTTTCTTAAATAAATTGGTAAAATTTATAGTTAAATATAGAATTACACAATATAGATGATAGACTAAAATTATTAAACTTATCATATTTAACATTTATTTTAATAAATTTTATGTAGCATAATTCTCACAAAGAAGGCACTAATGATCAAGATATTTCTAAAACTATATAAGAAAATCTTTGTACAAATTCTCATTTATTTTTTTTATCTAAATAACAAACACTTAATGGTAAGTGTAATCAACAATCTAATACTTTTTTATAAGCCATGTTCAAGATCTAAAACAAGTTTACTTAATTGAACATTTTCTAATAAATCAATACTTCTAACAATTTTTCTTCAAAAAATAAGTATACATTTTTGACAACATTTTTGAGTTTTATAGTTATACAAACTATAAAATCTGATACTTAATGAACATATTATCCAGAAGATAAATTAGTTGACACAGAATTTTGATTAAATATTTTGAATTCTAGATTATATTCTATAATAAATTTGATAATTGAATAATAAAATTCTTTTTTAAATTGGACTCATAACTTAATTTAAATGATTAAAAATAGATTATAAAGCTAATTATCAAATAATTCTTATTTCTTAATATATAACTTTAGTGTATTACTTTGAGCTTTGAAACAAGATAAAAACTATTTTGTAAATTGAATATAAATATGTCTTTGTTCTAAGTATTGTTTTAGCATATATAAATTTATAAAACCAGCATATTCAAATAGGTTGTTGATATTTAGTTAGCTTTTATTTGAATTGCTTTATATAAAATTAATAAATATAATTTGATCACACTCCTATTGGTTTATATTTATTATTTTTATTATAATCATTATAAAGATCCCAAGTTAAATACAAAAGGTTAGCAGAAAATATTTTTATAAAAATTCTTCAATATTTAATGGTTTTCTAAATATAACTTTTTCAAAGTTACTTACTATAATATGTATAATATAAATTGTATATAGAATTTAAAACAATTTAGCAACATTTATTTTGTTAAATAAAGTAATTATGACTTCATTTTGATTACTTATATAATTTGTTATCTGAAATACAAATTAAACATTGTTGTAAATTTATATTAAAATTATTAAAAATAATCAAATCAATTGAGTAACTGACTTTTCTATAAAATTTATTAAGTTTTTTATTTTTAATACTTAAAAATCTGGACTATTATTTGTTGTATTTCAAAATAAAATACAATGTACAAAGTCTTTTGTTAGCTTTGAGTTGATTTATCTACTATTATTTTAATGTTGAATTATTATTTTGGCTTATATTTGAATTATATAAAGTTTACTAATTTTTTATTTTATTAAATAACAGTTTGATATATAACTAATAATAAGGAATTTTTTTTAATTAAAAAGCTTAATATTAGTTTGTAACTTATGCTGTGCTTCAAAGTAACATTTGGCTAATTTATGATACTTGTATAACTATACTAATAAATTTGAATATATAATAATATTTGTTTTTCTTAACCAATACTAATATGCTGGTTTTTAAACTTTGTAAATCTATAGGTAAAGGTTTATAAACAATGGTATGTATTTTTAAAATGTGCTGTTTTTGTTTATATTTATATTAAGATAATGTTCCTGACAAATAACTGATTGTATAGTCTTTTTATCTTGCAAAAAGTAACTCTTTCTGATAATCACCTGAACCAAGTTGATACTGAAAGTAGATTGAAAACTCTGGCTCTAAAGTGGATAATATTCTTAGTTTTACATTAAGTAAACTTGTTGTTAACAAAGCTCAAGTATGTGATATACTGAGGAGTAGGTAAAACTTAAGCAGTTTTTACCTTGGATTAAGCTTTTTGTCTGGTGAACTATTTGCATATTTAGTATTCAAACTGGAAGGATATTCTAGAAGCAAGTAGAAACAAGTTCTCTGTTTAAGAATATTAGAAGCAGAAGAAAAAAAGAACAACTAGAAAAATTCTCTTTAACTTGAACCCTTACAACAATGATATACTTTTTCTTTATCTTTTTTTGTTTTCTTTTTTTAAAATATAGAGATTTGGCTTATCTTTATCAAAAGATCAACATTGTGCATCACTTTTTTTTGCAGTTATGCACTTGTTTGAACATAGAAAATAAGAAACACAACAAATATATAAATCAGTCAATCATGTAGAGCAGATCAGAAAAGAATTTAATTCAAAAAGACCAAAAATATATTGAGATATGTATATATTCTGAGGTCATGTCCATAATATTTTTTAAAAAATAGTTATAGAGGTTTATAAAAAATTGAACTGCTTAAGTCAGTATTCCACCTACTTGAAGATTTCTTCTATATG